ATATATATATATATATATATATATATATATATATATATATATATATATAATTAGCGTCTGCATCGATTTCAATAAGGTTGGTTGTTGCGTTGAAAATTTAAAGTTTAGAAACAATATTAATTGAGTGTTTGTGAAATAATTGATGCTTCATTGATTGGTATCATCATCATTCTTAACGTTTTAGAATCAGTTTCTACTTTGTTGTGCTAGTAATAATGTAATCACACTGAACAACACTCACTTGCTGGATTGTTATATGTGTTGTTTATTTGCTTTAATTGTCAACTTCAAACCTTAATCGTTTCAAGCTTGAGCATGACATTACCATGACACCGCTGTCTGTGCGTGCACGACGTTGATTTTCGTAATGCACAATTGTTGGTAATTATGAATCCGTTTTTTCCGTTCTGATTGTTTAGAAATTGCCATCTAGGAATGCGGAAATTTTATTTTTCAAATGGTGCATCCTAGAGTCGTTATTTTTAAGTTTATTACAAGATATGTACCTTCTTTTCGTGTACCGTACTCGTTCTTTCCAACGCGATAAACCTCAAAATCTGAGGACGATGATTCGCCGCGTTGCAAGATCGGTTCAATACTGTCTGTTTGCTGTGATATGGAAATTTATGTTGTCGAACGGGTTTTATTATCCTTCTGTACAGTCAACAAAAGTGCGAATGTATGCGTGTGGTATTTGTGAATGATTCTGTATCATTTACTTGTTGCTCTCTTTGTGTATAATTTTTGATGATGTATATGGAGCAGTAAATGAAGTGTTAGGTAATGAGGAGAAAACGTTTTGGGATACTTCAACACACTAATATCAAGAAGTGATTCTGAGTGTCATAGAGGAGACATTCTGTTCATATAGGATGATTCGTTGACAACAAAAAAATTACCCTCTCGCAGTGGACGAGAAAATATTCAAACAAATATAATATTTCTGTAGGTGTTTTATATTACGCTGATAATTTTGAGATCATCTTAAGCAAATAATTGCGATTAGAAGATATCACGAGAAGAGGCTTGCGCTCATCTCTTTGTATCCATGTACGTCAACGTTGTTTCTCGAATCAACTTCTTTTTCAATATATCCTCAAGAAAAAAGTCGAATTATGTCGTATAAACAATGGTAGCGTATGTTTCAAAATTTTCATGATAAAAACTGTAAAATCACGCAGTTATGGTATCAACGAATTGCCAACTCTGCGAACACTTTGAATAGTGAAATGAAAACTGCAAAGTTGGTTCTGATACCGTAATACTTCTGTAATCGGGGGTGGCTTCGTCTCTTTTTGAGCGAGATATGACTGCTAACATACAATGAATAAAATAGCTGCGCTGCTGTGCAAATTTTCAGCTGAACAACATGAAAAAGAAACTTATTTATGCAAGAAGAAACATCAATATTATAGGAAGGTGAAACAGTGCACTAAAGGGTGTCATCAACGAAGACTTGCTGAAACGTTTCTTCATCATAAACGGTACTTATATCACTAAGAATTCCGTGATCCATTGAAATGAAATCGTCGAGATTGTGACCTGTGCCTGAAAAACGATAATCACATAAAAAATAAAATGCTAGTCATCCTATCATGGATCAACGCCAATTCTGAAATTGATAACAATAGTAATTATTCTGTGAACTCTAACGAAAGATAACTCTGAAATGTAATCTAGAAATACTGTGTATTAAGAATCGAAATAATAGGTTACTCTGTGAGGCGTTTTTCTGAAATGGAACGATCGATGATACTAAATACGTAAGAATATACTTTTATCAAAGATTGGTGACCATCGTGGAGGCGGCTGAATAAAATCACCATGATCGTTCCGCATATGACGGCGATCGGATGAGAAATTTTTCAAAAATTCATTCGCTTTGATCACTCGGAAACATCTTTCATGAAATTTGACAATATAATTTGAATCTGTTCGAAGGAACGCATTCGTTTGTGATTGAGTGAGGGACGTATCCGTACATTCATGAACTGCTGACGCCCAAATACACTGAGTTACATCTATGACGATTGCGCATCACCAAAAAGGTACACCAATTTATTAAGGAACTTTTATTACATTTCGAAATTGTTGCCGACGAACAAACCTACGAAATTTTTTGTTCAACATTATATCTGTTCGTATGGCTTTGGTCCAATATTCGCGTAGTGTACATGGAAACGAAAGCGTTGAATCAAGATCATAGACCATGCTGGTAGCATCGCTTCGTTGAATCAATATAACGTGATAATCCTACAATACTTCATGCAGTCAATTCTGTATGCAGTCATAGAATAATCACATATACATGATATACACTGCCCTATATTAAGTTCCTACTTATTTAAAAAATCAAAACCAAAGCTGCAATCCACCAGCAATTATAGACCTTACCCACACAACATAAGACTGTTCTCTTGCATTTCGTTGACACCAAAGTGGGATCTGAATTTTTATCAGACGTAAGTTATTAGGATGAAGTATGCACAATCCATTATTTAGGGTCATTTTGTAACGACCATTTGAATACTTCACAGTTTAACTAGTTGGCGAAATTCGTCCTTTTTAAAAAAAAAACGTCGATTTAGTACTTTGAATAATTCAATGGACGTAATTTTCAACTGATTCACTGCTACGTTCAGATTCATTCAATTCTAATTTAGCTATACAACAGTTAAAATCCGAGCAAAACATATACTTGTCAGAGAAATTCGAAAGTGCATCACTGAATATCTGGAATTACACGATGCACGCCCAGACCCCACTTGCGGACCCAAGCTTTAGTTGAAGCTGGAAATTAACAATTATTACTAAACGTACCGATTTATTGACGTTAGAAATGAATACAACATAGCATTCGTCATTCAAAATATCACATTTCCTCAAACGCCTGAATAACATCCACACGTTCTCTTCACTGCAATCACGTTTCATTCATTAAAATCCAAAACGTTAAATAAGAAACAACTTACTCTGCAAATAGTTTTCAAACTGTGTTGTGGAAGAAATGTGGGTAATCTTGCATTTAAGGTCAGTAAAATCAAAACAGCATTTCGTTCATCCACATTCGCAGTTGAGAAGTGCGATGTAGTTAG